TTTCACATACCATAGATTTTCCCGAACTTTTGTAAAACTTAGAATGATGCGGAAATATTTTAAACACACGCGTCGCACGCAACGAACGTAGTGTGACTGGCGAGGCTAGTCATAGCAATGTTTCCAGATGGTCAATACGGTTGGTAACGTGATAGTATTCTAGATCGCAACATTTTCAAGTGAGTGCGATCGAATGGACTAATTAAATGGGCCTGTTTGACTGACTAGATCCATTTCACTTTTTTTTATATATATATATATATATATGCGTCGCTCGAAGAGGCTAACTTGTGCCGATCATAATCCTTTATAAACAAGTGATAGCATTGAGTAGGAAGTGCTGAGTCAACCTACTTGACGCGATTTTTTTAATCAATAACAAAATGAGGGACCTCTTGTGAGCACTTTCTCCTATGGACAATTAATTACTATTTTTTAAAATTTTTGGTCATTCGATTGCCTATTCCCGTTAGTCTATTATGAGCAAAATAAATAAACTTCAGTAAGGTTCTGTTTCAGTAGCTGTCATAACTGTAGTTCATTTAAGTACGTTTATTTGTTGACACAAGGCTGGCTGCCGATTGCTTTGGCCTATTTGGCAACGGCGTACATAATAATATCGTATTTTCAACAATATAATTGAAATTATTACGACCTCCATTATAACTTTGTTTATATGAACAGCGATAACAATTTTTTGCATTCCTCGATAATCAAACAAACAGCAGCAAAACTGCTGGAACAAAGTACAGAGTATACGTGAATTTCCGGATGCCAATTTTCGAATAACAAGTGAAATTTGCCGGTTAACAATAATAACTGATATAATATAATATATATATATATATATATATATATATAAATATATATGTGTGTGTGTGTGTGTGTGTGAGTAGTAGTCATTGCCATTGCCAACGACCAGTTAGGCAAAAAATACAATTAATTGTTAATTGGGAAATTGGCAAATTTTTAGGCTTTAGTTGACTGTTTTGACGATAAAATCAAGTTTTTGGCATTCTCTATGGAGCCTTCATCAGGAATCTGAAAACACAATTGCGATGCTAGTAACGAATACAGGACCGATTTAAATTGTCAAACAACTTACTCGTCGTTGAGGTTGCAGCCACAAGGTGTTTCAAAACGAACGTAGAGAAGATAGAACTTGTTATAAATATAAAAACAATCGGACGGAAACATTTGACTTGATAACGACAGATACCTTCGTTATATGTTAAAAATATCAATACCTATACACCCGAACATATTAAGAATTATTAAACATGAGAAGACATTTTAGGGAAACAATCGGAATGCAGTTTCTAACCTCCTACTTCCGCTACACGTGGAGAGGGGGATGGAACGGAAAGATAATGCGTCGACAGATGACATGTGATTGACGCGACGGAACGTGGAACTGTAAACCTCATTGTCCAAATTGGGTATGAAGTATACGAGGGACGCTCGGTAAATCTCCACCCAATTTACTAATATGCTGAATTAATTTGTTTTGGAAAAGTGTGTAGTTCATATGAGTGTACGAATGTGAGATAGTGATACACACTTGAAAAGATGGGTTATGTGAGTTTATATTAAAGATTGTGAGTGAGAAATTTCAATTAACAGGATAGCAATTGGAAATGCATTCTAATTTTGGGACGACGTTGGTTCGATTTGGATATGTAGCCGTTCTAGCTTTTCGCAATTCAACAGGTAGGAATAAATGACACTGAGCTGCTTAACATCAGCCTGTTTATTCATGCAATGATCTGTCATGAAAATGTGGGACATTTCTAAAAATAAACGTTTTGAGAGTCTTTTTTCTTTGTCAAGAACCTCAATACTGCCATAATTCATAGAGTGACCTGTGTTGTTAATATAAGATGCCAAAGCACATCTCTCTAGATGTAATCTGGCGTCACTTTTGTGTGAAGTTATCCTGCCTTTCAGTGACCTCGAAGATGGCCTATATAAACTAAATTACAGTTGTTGCAATTAATGCGATAGACAGTGTTGGTTGAATCAAGCAACTGAACCTTATTATTCATTTTGGACAACAAACTGTTGACTGTGAGCACTGATTTACAAGCAAAACGACAATTCAAGGAATTATACAGCCTGATCAATTTTGATGTTAGTTCTTTGATGTATGGCAAGACAACATAATTGACTCTGGAAATAGGAGCAACCACTGTAGTGCTGTTATTCTCATTGGTTGAAGAATATTGTCTAATAATCTCCTGAAAATAATATTTTTGTCAATTGGAATGTGCCTCGATAGTGTTGACTGTTGCGTCTTCATCAATGTAATGCTACCTGCATTTATTCAAGATTGATTTCGATGATATCAACCGATTTTAAGAAAAAATAGTCGTAGATTTTTCAGATCGCTGATGACGGATCTGTTGTAAGAATTACCAAAATTTTAAAACGAGGGAGCCAATATTCGGAAACTGTTCCATAATTATAAACTGCGTAAAAATAATAAGGCTGTTTCACTCCAAAATAAGCTATTTTGTTAGTTCACACTGAAAACCCAAATACCATATATTCACCCAATATTATCAACGACTTCATTATTTTCCGGATATAACAAAATTACACAGCCTACTACCAGGTTTTGCGTGGTACATTCTTTTTCTATAATAGATAAAGTGATCCTCGTAGTTCATCCGACTTCTTCATGACATCAATCGCAATGCCCAAGAACATTTTATCACCACGTTAACATCGTCCTCAACATAATTCTGACCAGCCATAACCGTAAAATCCTTTATCTTAGGGTCCGCGATTAAAAGACACCTCTCTGAACCCGAAGGTGGGTCTACGGCCAACGTTTTCATTTTGGAGACAAGACCTGACAAATTCTTAAACACCGACTGTGTCGACTCCTGAGGCCCGATGGATGTGTCAGATTTATGATTTACAGCTACCAGAACAACTACTTCCACTTAAGTTTTATTCCGTGTCGAACAGGTATAAATCCGTCATGTTTACGATATTTTTAAATCCTATCCAAAAATAGTATAATAGTAATAGGCATAAGCTTGAGCTATAGTACCGCCTTTAATCTTCCATGCGTATGATGTTCTTATTGTATTTATTATTTCTGTATTCATTAAATAAATCGAGCGACTAAAGAAAAATCAGTTAACAAAGATTTAACAGCATTCAACACAAAAACCGAGGTTTGTGAATTTAACGATTTTCAGAAACTAGGAAATTCACTCTGCAATATAATCTATATCTCAACCAAGTTTTATTCAGATCCGTAAAGCCATTTTGACATAACAAACATCCACACTTTACAATTTATAATTTTAGTAAGGATCCCTATATAAAATTACAGTCTGGAATACCACACAGAAATAACTTTAAAATATTTGTTTTACTTCAAGTATAATTTATGTTTCTGTATATTTTTTCCTTGAATCCTTGAAAGAACGGGTAACAAAATTATAGATCTGTTATTTAAACTCGGTAGGTTTTGAGACGTTCTGAACAGGTATAAAATTAAGGCCAGCTTGCATGTTCACGGTAGTATCATTTTTCTAAACATTCTTTTTATGTGAGTGATATGAAAGAAAGTTATAGGAAGACTTACTTAGATTATAGTAAGTCATAGAGTGTCAATTTCTTTAGAGGTCACTTTGAGGTCATCGACAAATTAGTTTCATTATCTTAAAAATTTTCTTAGAACCTTTTTTCCCGACGAATGCGTGCTTGTCAGCTGTAGCTATAACTTTCCTCGGGAATAAATGATTAAGTGTACGCATGAATGCTCTCGGGGTTCATCTGCGGGTGTACCGGTTTTGTTAAGTGTCATGGCTGCCTCGCTGTCGCGTCTGACATATCCGTTATCAGATGGACGGAGCTAGGGCAGGGAAAGAAGGTGTATGGAATTGTATGACCCTGTTTGACTGACTTGATTCGTTTAATTCCATTGTTATACATGTTCGTAACTAGCTTTTTTCTCAGAGGGTCTGGCTTTCGCTAAACAATCCTTTATGAATTGATGCGACGTTGCGTGGGAAGTGCAGAGTCAACCTACTTGAGCCATTTTTTCTTCGCGTGTCGAAAATATTCAACTTCTGAGAGAATCAAGTGTGGAAGTGTACACATTCAATGAACGGTGCCAAAAAAGTCTAAACGTTTTATTAGAGCGATCTTTATCTCTGCCTAAGCATTGGGAAGATTGATGAGCACAATAAACGAACATGTAGTGGTTTTTCTCATTGATGGTCTCGGGAATTTCACTCTGTCGGTACATTTTGACTAATAATAATTTTGGCCAAGGTTCAAGTATTTCTGTAATATCAGCTTGGCGTGCCGCATGTATATTGAATTTTTGTCATACATACGGTATCACGGCGAAAACTTTATTGCTACTATAGAATCTGAAGGTTGATGAAAAATAAATATTCCAGGAATATTGAAATTCTGTTTAGAGGGTCGTGTTCCTTGCACAATCTCGGATGCACTTCGTGTTTCAGAAAGAATCTGCAAGAAAGTAAGGCCTGGAGAGAGAAAGGGAGACCCAATCATCTCTATCAGTTTCAATATGGTAGCATATTGTTTACAATATATATTTTATCCTGAATTTGAAAAACATGAGCTTCATCCAATTATATATATTATAGTCGACTCGATGTCATTTTAGCTTTAGCCAGAAGGGCTAATAAAGAAGGGAAAAGCCCCCTTTTAAGTAACTGAAAGTGCTTACTGATGAGAACACAACACAAATTCACCAACGCAATACTTATTAACAGCCACTAACTGAGAGAAAATGGAAGCAACCTTTTCAACCGTACAAATCAAAGATGATAGAAGAACTGAAGTTTTTAGTTTCAAAATAATCGGAGGTCAGTTGCGGATTTTCCCCTCCATCAGAAGGCTGATCATTTTTACTTAGAGAGTTCAACCCCAGTCTCCTCATTGCTCGATCAGTTTACAACCCTTGCAATGGCCGTCTGATTCTCTAAAGATGGAAGCTAACTTGGCCAATGATTTTTAGACTTAAATTTAGAACTCAAAATGACCTTTTTTATATACCCCAACTACCAAGAAGGCCTAAACACCCATTGGGTACCGTGGAGCTATAGAGGGATACAGGGGAAAGAGGGAACGCCACACGGACTCTGGCGAGGGAACACGTGTGCATGCAACATGCACACATTCTGGCTCCGCCTACGAGAACCGCCGGGTGGTACCTCCACGTTCGACAGTCAGAGACCGTCAACCACCTGACAATCACAACATCCATAGCGAAGAGAAAAATTTCTCTTGTAACGGGATTCGAAGCCGCACAGCGCACGGCGACTGATCAGGAGACTGAAGAGTCTACTACTGCGGCCACCGCTGCTGCCTTAAACTCTATTGGCTAATTACTTTCCCTTGTCCCACCTCAAGGAGTGTCGTCAGCGTACAGTCTTCCCGTAAGTTTATGCAACACGCACCCTTCAGTGGCGTCTCGTGGCTCTTCGAAGTTGAGTCATTTATTTTAACAGTGAGTAGATCTGATCAAAAGAAATGTTTTTTTCCTTTAACATTTTTGTGGTAAAATTAAAGTAACCAAGGTATAGCCCTTTAGAAGTTTGAGTACCGCCCTGTCTCAATAATAATATTATGTGCTCGTGTTTGGCAACAACGGATATAATCCGCCTTATGGGTTCATCGCATCGGAAACAAAAAAGTGAAAGAATTTGAAACGCTGATCACGATGTTTTTATTCAATCAATGTGTCAGTCGGTAACGTGTGAGTGAATAGTGGTGTTTGCTGCGTGGCTCAAACGAAATAAAAAATGGCACTTGTTTATGCGTATCGGTTTCCCAATCGAGTGCAACCAACCCCTCGTGCCTTTGTTAACTACTTGTACTACAACGGGCTCGTGAATCAGGTGACTTAAGACCTCACAGGCGAGGGCATGCCGGTGCTCCAAGACCTCACGATCAAATACAGGTCCGCACTGAAATACTTGTCGGGAGGATACTTTATAAAACAAGGTAAACATTTTTTTTCTAGTTTTTTTTTATTTTTACACATATTTTGGTTTATCTTCCTTCTACAATCATTATCTGAAAATTAATGACTCAACTTCAAAGTCACCCTGTATAGAGGCAGAAAAAAATCGTTAATACTTCGTCTTGAAAGTTTTTTAAATACACTTCCTGACCTGCGCCTCCAATAACTGTTCTCCAGTGGATCTCAACAAAGCATATCATGTTTCATGGAAAAAACAGCAACAAAATCCAACAGTTTCAAACTTGACCCTTCCCATCGACGGAAATTTAAGATATCGCTGCAAATCAAAGAGAAGCATTTTTCAAGATGGTGGTGGGTAGGTTAACCCAGCAATCGCAACAACTGAGTTTTATATCACCTATACATATAACCTTAATCGAAAGACCATAAACTACCTGAAAATCACCTCTTTAGCCTCTTAGCTGTATCTTGGGAAGGGCTGATTATCATAGAAATCATTGCAATATACCGAAACTGTAGAATGGTAGATATGTACTCGCTTTCTAATAGGTCTAAATAGAATTTAGTACAAAGAAAACAAGATATATGCAAAAACCGTTTTTGTGTCTAATAGCCTTGAATAAATTAACGATTTGGCACAAGATTATATGAGACTTTCACCAAAGTAGAACGACAAAACAAAGATTCATGCAAATTGTCAGCCATGATTTCTCATTTACCCGTTTTATTTTACCTCACTGAATTACACCTATAAGTTTCAATATGCCACCATAATATTCAAAATGCATCCCTTTTACTCCTAATTTACTCCGAATCAGCTTAACCACTGGCTTAACCCTATCGCATCGTTTGTCGTATTTCACTTCTGATGAGAACATACCCAACGTCGACAAATGACTGCATTTCGTCCAGGATACCGCAACTCCCGAATTTTTCAGAGCATCCCAATCTAAAAAAAAAAGCTCTAAATCGGAATATAAATCCACAATTACGAAACGAAAAAAGCCTACAATCTCTACTAGAACCTTTAAAGCTGGAGCTAAAGTCATTCGAAAAAACCTCGGCTTAACGCCATCGCACGAAGGCGACCTTATCCCACTTCTGATGCGAAGTGTGTCAACACAATGACTCCATGTTTTTCCAAATAAACTGGAGTCCTGACTAGAATCTTTGAAATGAGAGGAAAACATATGAGTTTCAATATACCAACGAACTGTCTAAAATGCATCCCCTTTATCCTGAACTCATTCGGAAAAACTTCGCTTTAACCCTATCGCACCGTCTGCGACCGTATTCCACTTTTGACTTGACGACGGCGAAAAGAATCACTTTCATTCTGAAGACCATTCGCTGTGGCTCTCGAATTTTCCAGAGCATCTCATTCTAAAAGGAAATCTAAACCGAAATATAAATATACAATTACGAAATCAGAAGAGCCTGAAATCCAGACTAGATTCTTTGAAGCTGGAGGAAATAAAAACTCATTGGATCACCTCTATCAGTTTCAATATGCCAACATACTTCTTAAAATGCATCCCCTTTATCCTGAACTCATTCGGAAAAACCTCGGCTTAACCTATCGCACCGTCGGCGACAGTATCCCACTTCTGATGTGAAGAGTTCTCACCCACCGTCGACACAATGACTCCATTCCATCCCGGATACGTTTCGCTGTGGCTCCCGGATTTTTCCCGGGGATCGATATTAACATAATAACCCCCTAATAGAGCCACGACGGCTCACCACTTCTCTGTTATCCTTCTTTCTCTGTCGATGCTCCCAACCCTATCTTTTTAAGGGCTCTCCTGGGGTTTGCATCTGTCGACTACCGCGTACACTATTTATTTTTGTTGGTTTTACTTTTTTGTATTGTAGTTCCAACGTCGGCGTCGTACTCATGCATTTTTACAGTAGTAGTATAATGACTATAGTCGGAATATAAAAGTGTTTTAATCATTACCTGATGGTCATCGAGCAACAGCCAAGCAGTCGCAGTGATGTGGATTAAATACTAAAGGCGGTTCGCTTACAACAAACTAAAGCTTGATGTAAGTAAGAATAGAAAACTATAAGACAGTAATTTTTGAAAGAACTGGGCTAATTGATGAAATGCTTATTAGGAAACAACGTTTTCGGTACAACGAAGCAGCTTTTTACGAATTTAGAAATATGGGTAATTCTCATTTTTGAAAAATATAAAATAATTGTCTAATTGATAGTAGCTGAATAATGTAATGGTGATTTGTGATGTTTTGAATATACATAATGTAGAGTTATTCTAGAAAAAGAATGGTCAAAATTTGGCTCAACTATCGCAGTGAATGCTTAAAAACGAATGCAAATATTATCTTAAATACATTCACTCTATAAATATTATCTTTTGCTACTACGAAATTCACAAATTTTTCCCTCAAAGCTTGTGATCGATTTTTTGTCCTTTCCATGCACGTATGTCACACCAGTCGTCTTATGAAAATAACGCTAGCAAATCGGGACGCAGCTGGCCATACACGAGCTGTGAGACGCCATCTTTTCGTTTAGTCATTAGTTTATCCCAGCGACGTTATGTCTATGAGAAATTACAAAACAAGTGTTCATTCTCAAAACTCGCCGCGCATAAGCTGTCACAACCGTGTAGGTCCACACAGGTATGTACTATTATTCAATTATGTACTCCCGTTCGAATAAGTTTAATGTGTTTTTATGTCAAAACAAGTGGATAAATTTGAATAACCATGCATGATTTACGTAAAGGGTATGTTATTCGATATTGTACCGAAAATAGTCACTTTCAATGAGGTTACTTCCATGGTTCATGGATAAAAATATGACCATAGAAGTGACGCGTCATATACGGTAGTGACCGATGCATTTAGTATCTTGCAGATGTGCTATTTTTTTAAGAATGTTATGAAGTTTATGTTTGTTGTTTTGGAACATGTGGCTTCTTTTTCATTTTAGATTGGGAAAGGCACAAAAACTGCAGCAGAAAAAGAAATGTAAGCGAAGAGGAAGAGCTCAAATTAAAAAAAAATCCTGTTTTATATGAAGCTGCTAAAGAAAAAGATAGAGCGCGATACGTGGAAAAAAGGAAGCATAAGCAAGTGAAGCTAATAGCTGAGACAGCAAGAGAACAGCGGAATCAACGTAAAGTATGGAAAGAACGCAAAGCAAGGAGTCAAGAAAAAGCGTTGAGAAAATTATCTTGTATTTCTTGCGGACGTGGAGAAATTTGTTCTTAATATTCATTGATGAGAGGTTTTACCGATTTCAATATATTGAGTTCCAAAGATGACAATGTCACTTCATGGCCTAACACGTATGGAAATGATTTGTCTAGTCTGCAAGGGCATATTCAAGCTGGTGCTCTGATTGAAAGGGACGAGAATGAACCATCAAAACTTGAGCTCTGTATTACTAATAGAAGGAATGTGGATTGTTGCAAGGTTTTGGTAAAAAAAACAGAAAAGCATTTCATTTGGTCGGTCGGAGAGTTACTATTTAGCAATACTGATCTCAAAGAATATAGTAACATTCAATGAACTGCCTATAAGTAGGCTGACAGAGTAGTACTACTAAGGTAGTCCTTGATGTAATTGGATATTTTTTTAAACTTTACCAATCACATAAGTTTATAAGAAAACGCTTGAGACTGATTTTTGCATGCTTTAAGAAAATATTTTTTAGTTAGCATTTCTGTGTAAGAATTAAAAGTGCTTTTGATACCTAGTATTGATGATGAATAAAGATTCAATAATTGAAAATATTTCTCATTTTAAAAAAGCGTATGTTTGGATTTGTTTATTCCATACATTAATCTGAGGAATGTCATTTCCGGGGATCTGAGGTCACTACCGTGGATGACATTTTTTAAGACTCCTATAAATCAGTATTTAAGGGCCGGCAAGCTCGGCGAGTATTTTTCCTATAAAGAGCAACACCAAAGCTATTGTAATCCAACATTAATTATATCGCATATACATTTTTACTTTTCATTACTTTTTCAAATCAAAAATGATAATTACGCATACATATGCTCATGAAAACGTAAATCCTTGTCAAGTAAGACACCCAAATCTTTTACAAGGCCCTCATAAATAACAGTATCATTAATGCATACTGTCGTGTTATTTTTGATATTAACGATTTTATTTTTCAGTGCAAAGGGAACAATTTTAGATTTAGATTTAGAGATTAAGTGTTAAGAAATTGCGCTTGGAAAAGCTGACAATGGTGGCTAAGTCGCAATTCAAGTCGTCAATAGCCGCTATATAGTCATCGGGATCAAATGTTTTACTGATTTGTGCGACATCAGCAAAAAGCATTATTTCAAAGGATCGTATCATTTTATAAATATCTGATATGTAGACAG